CAGGAAAGAATTTGATTTGGAATTAAAACACAGTCAGGAAGAATATAAGAACAATATTAGGCCAAAATGTTGTGCATTCAGCCACCTTTTTCCCCCAGGATAATTTTCAGGATAAGATTAAGCAGGAGTACTGGATAGAGATCCAAATGGATCATTTCAGAGTTTCACGCTTTTTTAAACGAAAAAACTGAATACTGGCACTGAACAAATTAATGAAGAGCAGTTTTGCTTCAGATTACCAAAATGAAAACCGCACTAGATTTGATTGAAAAGAAGCTCCACAAGATTGGAATCGAAGAACTGAAGCAAGTAAAGACTTTGGATTGACTTGATGTCCATAAAAATTCAAAATATATACAAAATATTGTCAAATTAAGCAATTCCTTCATTGAATAACTCGAAATAGAAGAGCCATTTGGTAATTATAAAATGCCGCTTTCATTCAATATGGCTCGAAAGGCTGCATATATCATAGGCAAATTATAGGGTACCGTAACAAGAAAACACATAATATCAAGATCAGCTGGTTTTTATCCTAGAAACTACTTATATAACGCAGTCTAAACAGAGGAAAAAACGGAATTACTTAATAAGCGTGTCTAGACTGGCCAGTCACTTGCGATCAAAACTTCAAGGTGCATCTATCACAAATGCGCACAGTTATAATTTTAGACAGTTTTTTAATGTCTCGTTTCGCAGAGAATCGCACATGATGCAATTCCTGGAGCTATCATATTTCCTTTTTAATTATTGTTATTAGCTCTGACCTTTCTATGGGAACTGTGCCGCTTTTGGTCAACCTCGTAAAATATTTATCGACTTCTGTTGCTGTTGAATGTTGATGATTCGAACCAAATGCAAATCACCGTCTGCTTTGCATAAAGAATGTCTTTCAATGCCACCATCAAACGCTCTTGCATGCTCCCTATATAATCCTTCACTCTGGACAATTTTATCTCCTCCTAATTAATTTCCATGGAAATTACAAGTTAAGACAGAAAATCGATTCGATCCCTTAGATTTTTTTCTGCGTCAAAGCTAATTGCCTGCATTTTACAATAAAATCGTCTTCGTCCCCTTTGGGCCCATCGCAGCTTTTTTCGTTGTTGTTTTTGTCAAGTTTCCTCATCGACTGACTTTTCAGACACTCGCTAATTGTTCGATTGCGTCCCTTCGATAATCTAGGCTCTTTCGTCCTGATTTCACTATCGTCCTCAAAAGACACATTCGACGTTACATCCACTCGAATCACCTGCTCAGTTTCGGGACTCGGCGGTTTCGACAAAGAAAATCGAATGGTTTTCTTGAATTTGTGTCGCTTCTTCTTTGTCTTGTCGCCTTTCTTCGGCTTCTCCACCAGCTCATGTTGGATTCTTTCGGATTTCAGCATCAGCTCCTCTATGTCGGAGGCCACAAAGTAATCATCAAAGTTTAACTGGAGATCGTCGTTTATTTGCGCAAAGTCTTCTGCGGGTTGAGGCTGCTCAAATAGATCAGTCAGGGGATAGGAAAAGTCGTAATCATCATCTGCAATTGAGGAGTTCAGCGGCTTTCTTGGGGTGAAACTTTTGCATTTTGCCGATAGCAACCTGGGGGCTTTTTTCGACCATTTTTCTAGAGAAGCGCCAGTGTTGAGGGTGACATTATCCGGAAAAAGCAAAGTGGTTATCGTTAGTTTTGGCTCAGTTAGTCGGGGTGTGTATTGTTCCTTAGTTCGAGCAGCCAGCTTGTACGAGTATCTAAAAAGCCCATCAATTAGTGAGTTTTCTTCTGCAAATTCTAGTGACTGTACCCATGATAACCTTTAGTCGACCACACCATTTCCGCTCGATCTTCCAGATATTCATTTTTCCTGCCTGCATTTATCGCGTTTCGACTCGTTAACACTATTTTTGTGCACTTCATGCCGCTTACCTTGCTTTGAGGCGCTTTAAACCTGCGGAAACAACCCTTGATAATTAATTAATTTAGGTGCTATTAAAACATGGAAAAAGCGTGAATTTTTAGGACAGGCAAAACAAATATTTTCAAGTTAGTGGCATCAAAAACGCAAAAAAAATTCCCGCAAGTTGCATGTTTCGATATAAATATGACAAAGGAAATATCGTTCATTTGTTCGCCACCTTCAGACGTCAAGCCATTATTGACGCCATCCGATATTCCAAAGAATGGCTTTCTCGGTAAATTTTCAAACCATAAAGGCACAATGCTTTATGCAGGTGTTTAAACACGATTTGAACAGTTGCTGTTTTCTATTTGGTCTAACCAGTGCAGTACCTACTCAGTAAATCGTGACTGAAACAGTTTTTCCTTTTGAAAGATTTCACACGGGCTTAAGAAGCGAGCAAGGACAAGCAAACAACAACAGTAGTATAAAGTAAAATAAATCTACAAATGTTTAAAACTGTGTGAAACCCTTTGAAACCACCAGGGGAGTAAAAGGTCCTGAAGAAACTGCCTTTCAAACTAATATATGTAATTGACAAAGGTCTACGTGGCTGATGGAGTTAGCCTTGAGTAACTCAAAGATAGAATAAAAAATTCCCAGAAATTTTCAGACATTATACAAATCCTTTAGTTGGCTTTAAGCATGCAACTGAGTTTCTCACAGAACTCGGTCGAGTCCATATATTGCAGCAAGCGACAAAAATAGATAAGACCTAAAGTTTTTAATCGTATTTTCTGTGCCATTTTGCTGGAAGACTTCCCTCGAAGTCACGAACGCACTATTGGCATGATTTTATTGAAATATATTGCGATGATTTGATGGATGGCTAAAGTGAACAGCACACACTTTGCCTTTTGTATATCTGGAAAAATCCAGGTTTTACCAAAAATAAACTAATTAGCCAACAATTTAATAATTTCACTGAAAACCCCAATTTGCAAACCGTATTTCTATCCCGTCCCGTTCTGCCGGCGAACAACTGAAATATTTGCTTGAGATTTTTTTTTCGCTTCTGAATGATGTTAATTCCCCAACAATGTTGCATGATAATTTGCTATTTATCCCATCAATATCGGCATTTAACAAAGAACACTTGAGCAGACTAATAAAATTATTTAAAAATTTCGTCTCAGCCTTGAAACGCTTATTTATTAACTGCAAGATATTAATAACAACTTCAAGTCGCTTAAGTACGTCGATGGGATTTTATAGTTGGTGGAATTGTAATTAATACGATCACAATAACACGTAATTATAGTTATTATAGTGGTGTTGTTAGTGGTTTATTCGGGCAGCACTGGGGCAAAAAAATGTTTTTGGCAAAAACAATGACTCGTTTTATTGGTGCAAATATTTGCTAGTTTTGCCAAATTCCGCATTGATTACTAAGTCGTCTTTTTGTGCCATCAAGGTCTTCAAACGACGAAGACATTGACCTTCTCACCTTCGCCATTGGCTTTGTCACACGAACTGACAAATGAAAAGCAATTTAGAAAGTCTCTTTTATTCCGGGACATGAATGGGCCAGATAAAGAAGCCTTTTAAAATTAATTCCAACTGAAAAAATTGGCACTTTTCCATTATAGTACACTAAGACAAAGACGTTAAGCCAAAATACGAAGACAATTTAAAACAAACTAGTTAATCAGCTCGAGTCACGAGAAGAAATCGCGTTTCCCCATTGCCGAAAGCAGTGCGCTGATCAAACCAACTCGAGTGCAAAGTGTAAAAACAGGCCAGATGAAAAATAAGGGGGGAAAAGAATCGGAATAACATAATAAAGTTTTTACCTTCGACTCGACAAGTTATTTCCATTCGAACAGACATCGCTTCAAATACAATTTTAATTCGAACCTAATGGAAATTGACCTCTCAATTTTCCGGCGAACTCCGCCGCGCGCTCTACTCCATACCCTTTTCAAGTCGCCGACAGGAGTTAAGTGAAGTTTTTAAAACTCCCGAGCGAAAACTTACCTGGGAAAAGACCGGGAGTATAGTCGGTTCCGCGGAAAACTTGCCCAAGTAGCGACAGCTCGTGGGGGTTGATTTCAACTAAGCAGCTTTAGTTTTATTAGACTAACTTAGTTTTTGTTGTGTTTTATCAAAAGAGGCCAATTAAAAATTAACTAAGGCGTAAAAGGACTCTAACTCTAACCCTCCAGGGAGAGGTTGGTTTATCCATCAGCTTAATTTCCCGTTTTTGAATGCATTTGGACACAATAACTGGAGTAAGTGAAAATGAGCACACAGCAGTGGGTTTAAGCAACTCAAATTATTAGAATCGGTAAACTATTTTTAGTTTAGTTCCAAGCAAATGCATCTCAGTTTCTTCAACTTGAGTGCTTTTCGCCAGTTTAAACCCGTTTGAAGACTGTTTGGAGCAAAAAACATTTCGTGATTTTCGCACTATATCTGAGCCAATGATGATTACCAGTCACGCAGCTGAAACTGCTCAATCATGTGAGTGGCGTCGATTTAGAAATGATATGTAAACCCCGTTGCATGTCGGTCACGCCAACTATGATGAATGGAGGCATTTGAAAAGAAAAACAGATAGCACGAAAATTCATTCGGGTAAACTGCCATCAAATTTGCAAAGAAACTTTTTCAAAATTGTTGTAGTTTTTCACGACATTACTTGGAGCTGAGCCAGATAGAGTCAAGTTTTTCGGTTATTTAAACGATTTTAAACTTTGAAAAATGCAATAATCATTCCGAACAGCGGCAAACAAAACCCCGCTTCCAAGAAAACCATCATCAAACCAGCGGCATGATTCCCCATCACCTGCTGATGGGCGCAGACTGAAGATATGCCGCAATAAATCCTGGAAAAATGATACATCTCAAACCGCAAAAAACATTAAAAACGAATTATCGATAGTTGCTTCCGGTTAGTACGCAACATTCTTCAGCAACGAATCTGGCCGAAAAATTCGTTCAATCAAGGCTGTTCTCATGACCGTGAAAGCTTTGTTACATATGATCAGATACAGGGTGATTAAAGGCAAAGGAGCTGCTTAAGAAGAAAAAGGTCGATAATTTGAAGCGTCTTTGAAAAACGTTTTTTCTTCAGAAAAAAACCGCTGCGTTTTCAGAGTAGTTCAGCGTTTTCAACGAGTTTTCAGAGAGTGATTGAGCGGTTGGAAAGCTTGGGAAATTATTGGGGCAGATCGGTTTTTTGGCGACTCTTGAGTCTTCTGCTTTTTCTTTAAAACTGAGTGTTCGGCACAAGTTCTACACCAGCCTCTAATGCGTTTGTTGGCCGAGAAAAACGTCAAATTTTCAAGGGTTTTTCTCATCTGATGTTCTTCATTTCATCCTGTACTTTATTCAAATTTAAATCATTGAGTCATATCTCTTGGAACCCAGAACACACACGAAACCCGCAATAAATATTATAATGGCACTGACATTACGGCTAAACCTTGTAGGTCCGTCTTCATCAATACGCGCGAAACTATTTCGGCTTGAGTTTTACATATTTCGCGGTTATTAAACAAAATTTATGAATTGTCGGCATTCGGTTGAACACAAAATGTTATATTATTAGCTTTTAATTGGAATTGCGAAAAATGCGGTTAACAGCAGACTGTGGTGGAATATTTTCGGCAAATTATCATGTCTACGAGCCTTGCGAGATAGTTATCGCTATTAATGCAAATCGATGTTTTTTCTCATTTCTAAATAAGCCCAACAGTCTGATGATTATTGCGGAGTTGAATGGATTCTGGCTAAAACATAGAGGGCTTTAATTAAAAATCCCGATCAGTTTGCAGAATGCCCCAAAAAGCGCTATTTTCTTTACATTTTGTATAGTCTAACCGGCATAATCAGGTTGTTTATAGCGCCTCGGTGTAGTTATCAAGACCTAATTTGAAAGCAGCTGCTCTTTTCGCACGCCTTGCTTTCATTACATGCTACTTCGCTAACCCATTTTCGGTAAATCTATCTATAGACCTAGAAATGTTCATCAAAGCTTTTTTTAAAAACATTTTCACCAAACATTTCCGGGAATTATTTTAATGATTTTCCACCGTCCTGAACGCGCAAATATCAACAAACCGAATTGATCGACGATTTTTTTTATTAAATAAACAATACGACCGCTTCCCAGGGCTAATCAGTTTAAAATTTCCTGGTTGGGGAAAATTGAAATTACGCAATTTTCGACGCACATTCTAAAATTCCTCATCTTTCCGAATCCTGCTTAAAATCGACGACAGCCCGTAATTGAATGAAAAATTCAAAACCTATCGCCAAAAGCTCTATCGATAATTAGCAGCATAAATTAGTAACACAATTTTAGCATTAGCATCGTTGTTCAGCCCTTCGTGTTTTCCTTCTTGCTCCCGTTTCCTCCCCACTTTCACTTTTCTGCTGAAACTGTTCATTATTTACAGTTTTTCCTGTTTTTGTTTGATTGGCACCTTTTTTCCCGGTACCCCGTTACTCTTGAGCGTTGTTTAATTAAAAATTCAATACTAAAGTAACGACAGTGGGTGATTCAAAATACACGAATGTAACGAGAACTAGAAGAAAATGCAAAAAAAGTTTTCTCACAATTTGCTTAAAATCAGCTACACATCGTGAATTTGGTGATTCTCGTGTAGAAGCTTCGATCAAATTGAAGTCTGCACAAGAACGGTAAACTTTAGGCACGGGCGACATTGTCATACATTTTCAGTTTTGAGTTTTCCAATAAATAACTGCTTGAGTTGAGATTTTTCATAAGAGACTACTGAACATTTTAGTCTTCAAAACAATGACACCAATTTAAGCGGCCAAGTATGAGACTGATTTTTGCTCCCATTTTACGTCAATAGCAAAGTATTCAAGAGGAGAGAGTTGAAATGAGAAGAAAAAAGTGAAAACCCATTAAGAAACAGAGTTTAGTTGCGTTGCTTTACAGCCAGCTCGGCACAACTTCCACATCAACAGATTTTGAATCAATGTTGATTATTCAACAATTTAGAAGAAAGCAGTCGCCTTTCAACTTT